TTTTTTTAGTAAAATGTTTACCACTTGATCACCTTCGAGTTCATGATAGTTAGGTGAGGTTAAAACCTTATTCAACTCTGGATGCGAACAGATAAGCTTGAATGCAACTCAGTAGCATTTATTTACCAATTGATATTATATTATGCAATATCAGTTTAAGATGATAAGGTACTGGTAGTTGAACTTTCTTATAATTACATGAAAAATAAGTAATGTAGTTGATTGTAATGGCAAATATAACTTTGCTTTATCGACATTCCAACCAAGGAATGTGATATGAGAAAAAGCCAGGCCTTGAACTTCATACCTTCCCTGGGAACGAATGACACTAGTCACAATGAAGCGAAAGGGTTAACATGTCGAGATTACACGCTGCACTATCATGGTTCGACTTCCGCTGGGTGTGTTGATAAGACCTAGGCGAGATCGAAACAGCAGTCTACCCTGAATGATAACAACATTCGGGAAGCAAGGCTATATTAAATTCAATGGAAATGTCAACTCTACTCATACCATTGTGGGAAAATTCAACCAGCAATCCTTCATTACCTTAAACTAAATTGTGTCAATATATCTAATTTACTTGTAGTCTCGATACTTTGCTTATAAACGAAAAATTTATGATGTTCTCTTGACTTCTCATTTTGCACATTCTTTTCATCGAATCCGCTTACTATTCAATTTGGCTGCTATTGTTAGCTCTGCATGACTAAGTTCATACCGTCTTTACCTTACAGACTGGGGAGCCGTATATTCACGTCAAGCTGCACCGTAAACTATCGCTTCACTTGGCCAAAGCTGTGCAATGTCAGGTTATCGATAAAACTAAATCCTACAATCGGATCTCAGAAGGAATTCGCAATGTAAGTCGCGCTTTTTTTTCCGGAAATACTCAAATCGGTCAGTCTGTTTCTAAATACCCTTATTTTCCACTTTATTGGCTTTATTATACTTCATCACCTCTCGAACACCTATTTGTACACATTTTTAATTTTTCGCTTTAAAAAGTATGGTAGTTTTTATGTAGAAGAATATGACCATTTCACATAGCCTCACTCACTTTTCCAAGTTTTGTTATATTGACCCAATAATAACTCGAAACCCTACTATCATACGAATATAAGTAATGTAGTCGATTGCTCTAGCAAACATACGTTTGCTTCATCGGCACTACCACCAAAAGAATATGATATAGCAAAGAGGCCTGACCTTCCTTGAAATTAACTTATACCCTGCGACTCAAGGGTACTCGTGGTAGTGTAGCCGAGTGGTTAGTGTCA